TTCTTTCCATTTTTATTATTTTTATCTATTTTATTCATATTATTGTTATATTTATCTTAACATATTATTTATTCATATTATTATTGTCACATCATATTTATTCATTCTTATTCACCTATATTCGAAAACACTTAATAAATTATCGAAATCCTAAAAGCCGAATTGGTGGACTGTTGGATCTTTGGTCATTTGCAGGTATCCTAATTTTAAGTCGTGCTCGACTTTGCTCAAGGCGTAGTTTAGGACACAAATGCACACACACGGCTTTCTCTTGGGCTACCTTACAATAAGACCCCTTTATTTCGTGCAATCCCGTGTAATTTATATGTATCCCTCTCCCATTCCGATGTATGTTTCGCATTTCTTTGATTATTAGTTTATCTCCTAGGAGCACCCATAGGGACTAGAGCGGATTCAAACTATTTTCAAACTAATTCTCGATTCATCATCGAGCCACTTTCAACAACCTTGTAAGTCGAGTGCTCATACGCATTCGCCATCAACCTATTACAAATCGACCCTTGATGCGTAAGTCAAGTCGGTCTCTTTTTTTTTTTCTTTTTTTTCAAACCATTTCATTTCCAACACGTTTTGCACGCGATAATAAGTCAAACCCTTGATCCAACGTCAAGCGGATTTTCGAAACAAACTATCAATTAATTAACAACTATTTAATTCTTTTCAAGGTGTAAAGAGTGGGTTCAAGTCTTTGATCTTGCTTTCGGTTGTTTATATGCGAGTTATCTTATTCGTGTGTGAGCAATTGACGCCTTTAAATAACATTAACAACTCGACAACATTCAACCATTGTTCAACCATCCTTCAATTACTCTTCATTCCAAACATCGTTTCGAAATCAAACAACTTTCTTTTCATGATGAAAAAAAGAGAGTTCCAAGTCTTTGGTTCGCTCTCCCGATTACTCGAGTCCGAGAAGTCTTTCTTAAGATTCGAGTAGTTGTCATCCGATCCCATCTCATCATTTCAAACACCATTCAAATACAACATCTCTTGCGATGAAAAAGAGAGTGTTCCAAGTCTTTGGTTCGCTCTCCCGATTATTTGGAGATTGAGAAGTCTTTCTTAAGCTTCAATTAATCGTCATCATTTCAACCTTATCCTTTCAAACACAATCCTCTTTCAAGATGAAAAAGAAAGTGTTCCAAGTCTTTGGTCTGCTCTCCCGATTACTTGAGTCCGAGAAGTCTTTCTTAAGACTTGAGTAATCGTCATCCGTACCCACTTCAATCCAATTCAAATCCAGTTTCTTTCGTGGTCATTACCACGAACTACGACCGCTCTGATTCTTCATTCACTCTTGAATGTAAGATACGTAGGCACAAGATTGCGATGATCTTGGCGAGCACAATCCCCTCCATCTTCCATTTTCCCCCACCCTTTCCCGTAGTCGAACTACGACGCTCTGATTTCTCATTCTCGTCTGAATGAGCATACGTAGGCACAAGGGCCCCAATCCTTGGCGAGCACCCTATCTTCTAACCATCCCCTTTCCCCTAGTGTCTTTATCCCTTATAGTATCCTTTAGCATTTAGTAGCGAGAAGAGAAGAATTAAGTTTAGCTGACATCCATTAACTCGAATTAAGAGGTTCCCGTCGAGTACGACGGACGTGAGGGGTGCTAATACCTTCCCCTCGCGTAACCGACTCCCGAACCCAGGAATATGGTTGCGACGGCCGTGTTCCTTCCGCGTTTATGAGGTTTTCTCGATATTTTCCTCTCCCGTTCATTCGGGAAAAATAAAGTTCGGTGGCGACTCTGTCGAACCGCAATTTCCGCGCCTTTTGCGCGAGGGTCGTATGTTCGAAATGAATTTTTCGAGGTGCGACAATAAACAACCGTTGGTCTTCAAAAAATGGTTTACTTGCAAGATCAAGATCAACCAGTGAATCCTTAGGACATGGCTATCATTTAAACAATTTTTAAAAATATCAAAAACACTTCGACAGTGTTCATGTTTGTGAAAGATTGTTTAAAGTCTTTGAAAAGATAAACTTTGCAGAATTGTAAAGAAAGGTGCAATAAAGAGACCTTAAAGTAAAATTGCAATGAAGGAATAAATGGTAAACTGAAAATAATTTTCAATTGAAATAAAACATGGTGTTTCAGACGTACATTCTTAGTGAAAACTCTTTTCTCAATTGACTTAGATACTTTGAGTAATTTTTTTTAGTATTGTACAACAATTGAACACCCATAAATCATATGCACTAAGACCCATATTTATACTATGTCAAAATAATTGTCATTAACGGTCATTCCTCCAGAAAATGACATGTTTTGCTCTGCATGTCTTCAATTCGCCACAACCTTCCACGCGTCATTTCTAAAAAACGAATAAGAACAAAAGATTGTTATTGTTCTTATTTGAAATTCAAATCTTTCGTCGAACGCAAGCCACATATAGCCTCCGTCGAAGTTGCCATCCAGACTTAAAAATATATCTAAATCTTGCTTCAACATATCCTTCTCATAAAAGACCAATATTTACACTGGAATTTCCAATAACACTCCTGTCGAAGTTAAAAACATTTCAATAATGTTTCCTTTTGCTTATCATATTCAAATCAAAATCTTAGGCGTCGAAAGTCCCAACTAAAAATGTGTTCCTCCTGTAAGGGCAGGGGGACTCAGAGACCTTATTAGGTATATTACGTTGTATGGTATTTAGGATTTATCCACGACGGCGAGAAACCCTGTATGGTGGTGTTTGACGGCGGTTTAGAGATCCTACTCACGTGAGGTGAGAGACTCTATTATTGAGTGGTATGCTTGGATGTAAGCTTATATGGGGTGTGATCTGTATGACTTAAGATTTGTCATTTCTCCCTTTGAAAAAAGATATTTATAGAGGCCTCATGGGCCTAGGGTTCTCTTGGAAAGCGTCGCCACTCATCAAGTCATTTCATGGGCCTCGGTTGTTCTTTCTGATTTCTCCCTAAATTTTTTAGCTGTTTCACAACTAGAAACATGAAAAAAAAAAAATTACTTCTTTAGCAGATTCACAACTAAAAACGTGAAAAAAAAATCCATCAATATTGAGAGTGATAGTGATAATAGTTTTTGCTTATAAGTTGTGTGGCACCTTTTCTTTATCCTCTTTGGTTAATTAAACGTGTGGAAATAAAGAGACCATTTATTACAATAGTCTAGAAATCAATTTTTATGCATTCTTGAATTTGTATTGTGTTTTGTCTTATTGTGTTTTCTCTTCGATCTTAATAGATTATTGTGTTGCTTGATTATATTTATTTTTGTTATCACGCATCAATTTTTTTAATTTGTGCGAATTCTGAATAATTCTACTATATGCTTTGAATTATTTTTAGCAATACATACCATAAATTTGGTTAATTAATTGCAGATCTATTTAGTTAATTTTTGTTCAATTGAATGTTGTTCAATTTGATTATTGTTTCGGTTCATTAGTTAAAAAGAGTAGTTCCATTAGTTAATAACAGTTCTGTTTGGATATGTGGTTCAGTTCAATTTTATGATATTTTTATTAGTTCTAAAAATGTGTTAGAGAGGGTATTAGTAGCCTTCTTCAAAATTGTTAGAACCACTTGGGCACTATTGAATTTGTGTGAACAAATTTATTTCTTCTGTCAAATAATGGTAGAAACACCTCACTTTTGGAATGTAATAGCAAACAAACAATACTTATGACATCTTACCACCCAACTAGAGAAACCACCAAGATGTAATCATCTTATAGTTGTCATGACTAGTGTCCTTAAGATACTAATTATTTATCGTACATCTCATATACTTCATTAAATACATTAAGTCGAACACGTGTTAATATCAGACACATGAGTTGGTCTCGGACACTGACACATCTTTGTTCTAAGATAACCGTAGTACAAATGATTTGTTCAGAGATATCAGTAGTATTGTTGTCGGACACTGACACATCTTTGTTTAGAGATAACGGTAGTACAAATGATTTGTTCAGAGATATCGATAATACAGATGACTTCTTTCAAAGATGTCGGAACATATATGTTCATATCTCACAATGCTATAATTTAATTAGACAAATGCTATGAAAAGAATGTGATTCAGAGCAGCATAAATAAAGTAATTAATGGAAGCAGTACAGTTAGCTGTTGTGTTTGGACTGTCCTTGATTTCTTAGCCCTTACATATGAGATTTGCATCTGAATTTGCAGCTCTATGTTTTACAAGAAGTCACCATTGTCAGCAACAATCATTGTTTATACCTGTGGCATGATTTGCATGACAGAATCATAAAAACAGACATAAACTATTAGATTTGGCTGTGAAAGAGAATAAAAGATCAACAAATGTTTGTATTCAAAGTTAGATTGCCAGAATCATGGCGATGCACTGCGGTTTTGACACATTAGCTTTGTCAAACTCTCCGTCGATCCAAACATACACTAACAAAGTAGAGCCGCAAGGCATTATATGGAAGAGTGATGAACGGGATGTCATAATTAGGCAACAATATCTAATCAGTTTAGTTAGCAGATACATATGTTGCACCGAATGCGTGACTGTGTGCATCAGTGACTACAGTGATAATATATCCTCTATGTTATAGGACAATACAAGTTTGCACCTACATTACATATTTGATAAGTCGATTTTTCGATACAAAAAGTTTCGAAAATATGATAGAACGAAACTAAGGATATAGAGGATATGTTTACTACTACTCCTCCTAACAAAAGATTATTCCAAGAATCAAGAAGCAGCACTTGAACAACACATAAAACAAACACTTGACCATTTGGTTTTTGTAATATGATTCATAAAATTAACACTTGAAGATAAATATACAACCATTAGGGATGAAAAATTCTAAGATTTGTTCAAATGCACAGAGAAATAAAAGGTATAAGGGATGAAACAATACAAACAAAAGTTCTCATCTTTGATAATACATCAACCACAACTCATTTAAAGTTCTGTTAGTACTCAATGGATGCTGCCGGAAAAACATCGCAACTCTCTATTCGTTCTTCCAAGCATACAAAACATGCGAGAAACCAAGACCTTGTTGCAATTTGGACTCAGAAAACCTCTGAGAGAAAGACCACTGCAAAACACTTGCATCAGAAACAGGTTGAGCATTCCAAATCTTATCATGAGACAAACATGTTCTAAACATAAAAACAGCATTTCCAAAAGATGTACCAAAAAGCCAATTATAAACATCCCAATAAACCTCAACTTCAAATCCATCCACAAGTATGGTATAGTTTCCTCTAAACTTCCACTTCAGCCTCTTCACCTGCATCACAGTCTTACTATCTAGCCGAATTATAAGACAAGGATCCTTTGCAGTGGAAGTATCACACTCAATAACAAGATCATGAATTTTACCATTATCACAAAACACAACCTTGTTACCAAAAAACTTCTTACCAAAAACATGTTCTTTCTTAGCAACAAAAACCGCTTTCAAAGGTAAAGGAACCGCATTCGATTTCTTAAAAGCTTCTTTCCTCAAATCACCAAGAAGAAGAACCATTTGTTTATCAACAACTACTCCTACAAAAAAACCCTCCAACGGTTCTGGCCCAACACCAAATCTAGCCGAAGAAAGATCCCAATACACATCAATCTTACAACAATAAGCTTCTAAACTCTTACAACCCTTTCTCTTAGAAAAAACCCAAGGCTTTATATCCACTTTACACAAACACTGATTCGAAGAATCATCTATCCCAACACTAAACCCTTGACCCATCAAACTTTTACTCCATGTGATTGTAATTAAGCAAGATCTACCTCTAATTGAACATTGGTAGACACAAATCACCAGATTCTGCGCAGTTTTGCTTGAACTTGAAGACGATGAATCTGATACCTGAACTGCATTCTCCCCAAAACAAGATGGGAAATCCTTCATTTTTTTTCTTCAATTTTCAAACTTTACAATGGAATTATCAAATTAAAATAAAAGGGTCACCGAAAAAAGAGGTATCTGAGGAGAAGACAGAAAAATGGCAGAGGTGAAAAACAGAGTTCTGAAGAGAATTGAACCCCACAGATGAATGAATCTAGAGAGAGGAGCGTGGAAAGTTAAAGACAAAATTGAAGGAAATGGAATGTAAGAGAGTAAAACAAGGTTCCAGAGAAGCAGACAAAAAAGTATACATGTTTCACACTTTCACTGTCAATCACTCTGTTTTTCTACTAAGAAAACTCAAAATTTAGTTAATTTAAATAAAATAAAGTGTGTAATTTTATAATATTTTGATGATGAATTGTGAAGGAAGAGATGTAAAATGAGATGGTGACAGGTCAAGGAAAGAGAAAGGAGACAATAAGGAAGAAAATGGGAACTGGGTATGATGCTGTAAAGGCTGAATTGTGAGGGTTACTCAACACTCATTAAAGGTAAGGTTAGAGATGGAACAAGAAAAAGCATCTTTTTTTATTTCTATTGCTATGATCATATGATACAATGTCAAAAGAAATTTAGTTAGTTTTGTTAAGAAGAAAATTGATTTTGAGTGAATTATTTTATAAAATTCATTTTTATTAAAACTGACTTGAATGTAAAATAGTTTAGGTTAAAATAAATTTTATAAAGATTGAATAATAAATTTTAATTTAAAATCACGTTTAAATTCAAAAATTATAAATATTACCTTCAGGTATAATCAATTATAGTGCTTCAAATATGAATTTTTTATTTGTATATTAGTGACAAACTGAACTAAATTCCAATATTTAACAAGAAAGAAAAACATAATGTGACAAGCACTGATGAACAACTAGAGAGAAGATTAGTGTTTTAATTTATGTATTAATAAAGTTGAAGGTAGTTTTTATAATGAATAAATAGAGATGGAAAAGTGAAGGGTGAGTAAATTAATATTCCCTGATTTGCATGTATTTAAAGAGAAGGAGTGGGAGGGGAGAAAGTGGGGCCAGAAAAGTGGTTTGAAAATGCAAGCACGATGTCCATCAGACAGCTAGGCTAACAATAACATACGTCCTCAGAGCACAGGTCAGAATAACGATGTCTTGCTAATTTAGGACAGAGAGTACTAGGAGCAGTAAACCATCATTTTGTTCTTCATGTCAAATTCAATCTTCTACTTATGAATTTAGGGTTCTTCAAAAATGTACTGTTGGAAATTGACCCTTAGATTAAAAAAGAAACCAGTTGATGTTGCTAGGTGAAGTCACTTGCACCATAGTTTCTTTTTTTGCAAAAGAGGCTAATAGAATAAACTAACAAGAAAGTTTAATTAGTTTAGGTGATGTGATGTTTTATCATCAATTAAAATGGTTCTCAACTTATTTAACAGAATTTAAAAAATTATTATTAATGTTTTTTTTTCCTCATAAAATTATGAGTTTTTTTTGTGTAGACTGATCCTTACAGCGAAGATCACAATAGACGGTAAAATTTTTTTAAAAAAAATTAAATATTACTGTATATTTAAGATTAAGTTCAAATTCAAAACGATATCGAACATGTTTATCTATATATCTATATTATTTTTTATCTTCTACTATTTATATCTATTTAAAAAATATACACAGAAAATTTTGTATTTAACATCACAACTTTGATGTCAAAATATTACCCAAAACTCATATGAAATTATAGGTTTAAATTTGTTTGAGTCATCTTAAATATTTTAAATTTTATTTTTAGTTTTTCAAAATATTTTTTTAAAGAATAATCTTATTAAAAAATTTCATTTGCACTTTTAATTTCTTGCAACTTAACAATGATTTTTATAAATTAAAGAGAAAATTAGCGACATTTTTAGTAGTGACTTATTAATTAGCGACTGAATTAACAACACTTTTAGCTACTATTTTAGTATTAGGGATCAAAAATGTGGATGTAAAATTTTAGTAGAATCATTCCTTGATAGAAATATTTTGAAGGATCAAAAACGAAATTTGAGATATTTAAGTTTACAAACATATTTAATTCAAAAAGTATATTAATGTAAAAATGATTTTTATCACACCTGTTATAAAATTAAAAGGTTCAATCAAATAAAAAAAAATTAATGTGTGAAAACAAAGAAAAATAATTACTAAAATAAACGGTCTTTTAGTCAAAATAACTTTATATGCAATAAGACAACAACTTAACTTGGCAGAAGAAGATAAAAAAAAAAAAACATACTAATTTGTTTATCTAATTTGACCAAACAATGTACTATGTGAAAAAGAGCAACACTTTGATTCATTATACTTCCAAATTTTGTTACAAAATATTACAAATAAGTTACAAGAAAATAGCCACTCAAGTTCCTTAGAGCAAACCTTATTTTCTACCAAAGTGTTTTTCAATCTGTCCAACTTTTTATATGTGAATCACACAAGTCCAAGGTATTTAAAAGTATTTTTTAATCCCCTTAGATATCTCCATGGATTTCCTAAATTCCAAGAACACACTTTAGGAATTTAATCTTTTCTCTTTAAGTTACCGTTAGAATTCTCGAACCTTATCTATATCTTCATCTTTAAGGTTTTAAAAGTTGTAAAGACATGAATTATGGGGATACATATTTACAAGTGTTTAAACCAAATAGATTCATAACAAGCTCAAAACATAACTCATTCATTAACGGATCCACGAATCAAAACAACGAAGCTCAATATACGCAAACTAAGAAAGTTGGACCCGAGCATCGAAGGACCAAACTGCCCGCCAGACTCAAGCCCAGTATCGCACTATCTCCGTTGGCTCCTCCTCCAGGTTGATTTCTGGTTTGTGCATTCTCAAAACATGTTTCCTCTCTCTTCATTATGTAAGGTTTTAAGGCATACTTCAAAAATATTCACCTTGACTTGAATGATAATCTATCCATCTTCCACCTTACTGCTCTTTGCCAATTCAATATCTATTTGTTTACGGTAAAATTTGGTAAACAAAATAAGTTTATATTAATACTTAAGGAATCAAACTCGAAAATCTCTCGGAACGTATTTGTGCGTGTTTATGACTTTGAACAACATTTTATTATCGAAATTAATGCTTTTAAGAAGGTTTCAATACCACTTTGAAACAAGACTTAAGAATATATTAAGTTTTTAGAACAAAGGCTGAAACCGAAATGCTGAATGAAGTAAAAGCATGAATCGTAAAGTGAAATTGAAACGGAAAATAACTTAATGCAGGAAAAATGCTTGAATGTGAAAAAACTTGAAATTTATAAATGGTGGAACGCATACGTATATTTTTCTCACTCGTTTCTCAAATGCGCATATACTTTGAGTTTACAAGAATATGAGTACAATTGCGGACCATTTGTAAAATGAACATGAGTCCCTATATATACTACTTTAAAATAACTACCTAAGAACAGACGACTAACCCTATCACGACACGTTTCAATCCCATGCAGCAGTTTCTTCCGATGAGCCTCCACGTGTCTTCGAGTAAATGTTTGTGTTAAACTATTTCTCACTCTTTTACCATCATTCAAATATCTTAACTACTTTAACTGGTCACCAGGAACTGACTTCCTACGTCGAAGTCTTTTGGGTCGACCATGCTACGACAGCACACTCTGTAGTATTTTTCACATGCAGTGCCCAAGTCAAAATTATTTCCATTGTAATGATGAACTCCAACCTTATCCAACATAGCATAGTACTCAATTTCACTAAGTCCCTAAACTCTTCAACATCCTTTGACCTACCACTTCTTCGACCGACGTCACTATGGGTGACCCCTGAACTTGAGTCAGCTTAACCTCCCTTTGACTACACTTTACCTTGACTTCTCACGTGGCATATTTAATGTTGTCTTATTAATACTTGCCACTTATAGTTAACTACAAAAATCCAAGGTAACAAATTGCCCCCAAAAGACCATGTTTCGATTTCAAACCAGACAAGAGAGACGTGGCCTTTTTGATAGTATTTTTCAGCGATGCTTCATTTATGTTGACATCATCCTCATCATTACTCTTTTACGGCCTATTGTCATTTTCCGTGAGATCCGCTCAGAATCTCATCATTACTCCTACTTCCTAGGAGGTCGTGGGTTTGCACGTCTATCATAATTTCTCCCGCTCACATCAATGTTGTGCTTCAAAAACCCACAAAACACTTCAATCACCCCTACACGGACGCCATGTGTCCAATTTAGCACATGCAATGAGAAGCTTATAAATACCTCTTTTCAGATCCTTTGCTATTCTTCTTCCTTTCAACTTTTCCTAGCTTATTCCCTACGTAGAACACCCAATGGTTTCACTCTTCTTCAGAAGAAAAACTCTATTTTCATCCATGACCAACAATCAAGAAATGTCCTCCAAATCTGACACTGGAAACAACCCATTATTTTTCAAAATGCTTCCCAATGATAATGAGGATGTGACAAACTACATCCCTAAGCCTCCACTGCCAAAGGAGAAGATTTCCATCTGGGCAAAACAGGTATTCATCCCTTACTTTTTAAACAACAAACTGTGTGCTTTCTTGGGACCCTATCTCACAAAGAGGTCACATGTTGGGCAGGTCACACGCTTCTTCCCATGTTTTTCCACTACTCTTCCTTATGCGTTTGGAAAACACGCTCTCGACCTATCTTTCATGGTTAAACCCAATCGTGTGTTTCGATCTGCACCTCCTACTCCAAGCAAAGAGTATATAGTTTGGCTTGATAAGGTTCAACTCCAAAGAGTATTTCTTTTTCTTTATTACTCTAATTACATTTTTGATTAAATCATCTTGATTCATTTTTATTTACTTCTTTTTGAGTTTTATCTTTATCATTGGTTGATGAAAATCTAGAAATTATAGAGTGATGATTTCAAGGATGTTTGAATCTTCAATATTTCAAATATGTTGATGAATGATCATTAGATCATTCTTGACACTTTGAGATATTGATAAATTTCTCTTGGTTGATCATTGAAACTC